AGAAGTCAACACAGGGAGACCTTCGTTTTGTTTCAATTTGCTTGGGGGCGTTCTCTGACCGGATCGGACTCAATTCAACCGAACCGAACCCGAGCCCAAACTGGGCCCTGCACCTTACGGGTCTCTCGGACATCCCTCAACTGTTTGTCTTGTCCTGTGTGTGTGTGTGTGTGTGTTGTCCTCTTCCTTTTTTGTTGGCTTTTAGCTTCAGCTATTACTTTTAATTGAAATGCTACAATTTCTGTTTGTCTTGCCTTACGATGCATATCAACTTACCCAAAAAAAAATCAATCTCCTCCTAAGATGTATTAGAAATTTCGAAATGTATTGTTTTGTTTGAATGATTCAAAACCAGAGAAAGAAATTAAAGATTAAGGGAGAAAAGTTTGGTATCATGGGAAAATATCAGAGTGGATTAGAAAAATATATTTCATCTCTAAGAAAATGTATTTTTGCATATATGTAAATTTAGTAATTAAATTATGAACCAATTAATTAATGGTATGTGTAGGGAAATAATTTTACTAAATATTGGAAAATGAAAGAGAAAAAAGCTCTTTTCTATCCGCTGAAGCAAGGAAAAGGAATACCAGCAAATATCATTGGAATCTGAAGATTTAACAGGAAATTTCGACGAAATGGAAATGAATCTGCACCCCAACAGCTGTGCAAAATAATAGCTTTAAGCTGGAATTCCTGGAATATGAACAGAATCAGTGAGGTTACACCTTCAGAAAATAGGTAAATGGGATCTATATCCCAGGACAGGATACAAAAGAGAGGATTAATCACTCCAATTATTGTTGTAAAACACGTAAAAGAGTAAGTCAAAATCAGTTTCATATTTAATTTATTTAAACTTGATCCCCCTCAATGTTTAAAAATTTAATTTATTTGCAAAAACAATATTAATAAAATATTATCAGGTTGATTCGCGTACACACATCAAATTACCCGACGTATGGGATATGATATGCTGTTACGTGATATGACGAAAAATGCCACGAAATGTATAAAATTAAACGTGAAAATTCCTCATCAGCAGTCCAAAGTATGACTTTGTCATGTTGATTGCACAATAAGTGTGCACATATATTATGTATATTTAAAATGCATATATAATTGGAACATAAAATACGTTTTACGACAATTTTTCCGTCAAAATGTTATCAGACAGAAATGAGCATGAAATATGTACGAGTTTGTTTTTTGTTCGATTTGACGCACACTTGATGATCTCCTGAACTATCCTCCCCCTATTACTGTAAGATTTATTTGTGTTTGAGATACCTGTATATTACCTGATGGCAATACAAAAAAAATACGAAGGAAAAAAAGCCATCGAGGAGCTCCCCTCAATTGGCCAAATGCAAAGATAAACTTCAACAAAAGCTTAGTGGCTCAAAATGTTGTTGTCTAGCAAACACATGACATCGATACAAGTGTTTGTGTGTGTGCGTGTGTGTGTTTTTGTATCTGTTTGAGTGGTATCTTTTGTAGCAATCAGTGTGTGCGTGTGTGGATAATCAACACAAACAACAATACAGAGAGAAAAAAAAAAAACACATACACAGAGAGAAAGAGCGAGGGAGCGAAAAACACAGTTGCTCTTGGCCATTGTGGCGACACAATTTTATTTAAACAAAAGCCTACTTGAGCTTTTGCTCAGTTTGCCACAGCGACAATTTAATAAGTGTATGCCTGCGTGTGTGTGTGTGTGTGCGTGTGGTTGTGGTTATATGAGCGCGCTTAGAGCCATATGATATGGCCATAAGTGCCTACATATGTAGCATATAATGTTCCCAACATGGACCATCTGCTGGGTAGGCTTTTTGGGTAGTATAAGTTTTGGTTGGGGTTTGGAAAAGAGATAATAAATTAAATTTATATTCTAACAATAAAGAAGATTTGTCGCAAGCCTAAAATCTCTCGATAACATATTTGTGTATGACTTTTGACCTAGAAATACAAAATGGATGGCATTGGATGACAATCTTTTAATATCTGTGTGCTCTCCTGCCGCGCTGCTGCTAATCAAGAAAGCATAGCATACCCATGTGCGCCAAGAACAATAGAAAGTTTTCTATTAAATCATGACCCGAATGGTGCAGAGTTTTTTTGAGATTAATAATATATACTCCTCCCTGCCCTGTCCAACAAGAACCCTACTTAGATCCTACATTAAAACCCTTCAATTCTACTGTCGAGAAGGCAACATTAGACTCAAAAAAGTGTCTCAATCCATTTTGTATATATTTATGGGATTCCAATAAGAATATAAAATATATTTTTTTTTCAAAGGAAAAACCATCCATATTGATTTATGTATTGATTTCCATGCAAACTCCTGGGAAAATGGGGAATATTGTTATTGCTTAACGCACTAAAATTTAACTCCAATCTATTAAAATGTAATCTCGTAATTAATTAAATGACATAAGTGCCATTAATGTTTTCGGATGTATTTATCCTCAAGAATTATCTTCCCATCCATTTTGAGTAAAGATAAAAGTGCTGCGTACCTTCTTAGATCCCACAATCAAATGTTTTTTCGTTGTTGTATATTTCTATAGCCATTAGCTCTATCCGCTTCTCTTTGTGGGTCACGTTAATTGACATATTCTATTCAGACACCATCCCCACAAAACAACGTCACATCAATTACTAGGAAGACAGACTAAGAGTGGGAGAGCGAGGTATCATCACATTCCATATGATTACTTTGACCGATGTTTGTGGCCCCAGTCGCCTTTTGAGTAAGTGAGTCAAGGGCACGAGCACTCGCTTCTGGGGGCCGCAACTTGATTAATGGCAAATTGTAGGGCAGCTTAATGAGTGGGATGCGCGCATAGCGAGAGGAAGGTCGAAAGATACCTTCGTATATAAAGATAATGAAAATTCAGAGAAATTTCAATGAAATTTCATATTTACGTGGTGCCCCCGAGGATGAAGTATGGGTACAGAACTGTTGGCAGCCCATCAACTGGGGGTTTGGGTTAGACGCTGTCAGAAGCAATCAGGCTGCAGGCGATGCTCGGCAATATCAAAGAGCGTATTAACATGCAAAGCAGGGGCCACAACCAGAGCCCAGCTCCAAAGTCAGAGCACCGCAAAAAACAGAAAAAACGAAGAAGAAAAAAAAGAGGGAACCGAAGCGAACTTGACTTGCCACAGAAGGCGCAACAAAATTGAAAACCATTAGGATTAATGTTTAGTTGAAAGATTTGCGCGTTAAGCCATTTTTACATGGCTGCCTTTCCAGCCAGCTCCCTCTGCTGCTGCTGCTCCAGCTCCCCTCCCCATCTGCCGCCAGCCAGGCCAATTGCTAATGTAGTTTATGTGTAGGAGAATCGAGAAGGGGGATGGGTACGGTACGATGATGGGATGGGATGGGAAGCTGTAGCCTGGCTCTGTTGGCTCTGCCTCTTAATGTTAACTGACGTTCCTCTAGCTTCTGTTGCTGTTAGGCTTAGGGCGAGACGCACAAACGACATGTAAAATGTGACATTTTAATGTATGCAAATGAGACGTTGAATTAAGCCAAGGCACACACACACACACACCCACATTTACAGACAGAGGAGAGAAAGGGAGAAGATATGTAGGAGACCCACAAAGAGGAGGAGAGGAGGGTAAAAGAGCAAGATTCCCGCTGGTGTGCAAACATTCACTTGGTTTCATATCCGTTTCCGCTGCCGTTCAACTGTGCAGCAGCAGCAGCAGCCGCCTCTGTGCCTTTTGTGATATGATTTGAAAATAATGAAAGAACGTTAACAGCTTCTCCTTTGCTTCTCTCTCGCTCTCTCTCTCTGCAGCTATTAGCAGCCCCCGCACGTGTCTGTTTTAGCGGAAATGTCAACTTAACTTGCCTGAACCCCAAAAACTGCGACAAAAGCCAAACCAGCAACAAAAATAACAAGTAAGAATGTTATGGATGAATAATGCGACTACAGGACTACCCTGTACTTCGCTTAATTTCTCTCAGCTAATATGTGCAAATTTATATAAATGGAAAAATACAAAAAATATTTCACAAAGATAGTAAAATCGGTAATGGCAATGGCTGCGAAGAAAAATAAAGTTGCTGCCTACAGTAATCAGTGGAGCGCTTTATGCTTCTCCCTTCTTCATGTTAAATACTCCCACAGGAATCGAATATGCCCAGCCATCGCACAATTACTGGGGAAAACAAACCCCAAATGGGGGACTTCTTGTCCAATTTATTAATTTCTATTCCGTCTGCGTCTCACAATTTGTTCTTTGTCTTTGGACATTCGGCATTCGATTGTTTGGTCTTTGGATTTCAATTTGTTGATTGTTTTTCCTGCGTTTTTTCTTCGAATTCAATTTGGGAGGGAAACAACTTTTCTATATTTGCTGTAGGAAAAATGTTTGATTATGAAATCTGTAAATTTCTTGGTGTGGGTTGGGATTTCCCAGAAATTCTTTCAAACATTTGCGGAATTTGTTGCTTCACTTGAAAGTTGTTGGAAAGATGTTTATGTACTGCAATTTCGTAGGCAGTGGAATTTTATTTATGGCATTGCCGTGGAATGGATTGAGTTTCATTCTTTATTGAAATGGTTTGTTGATTTAAACTAGAACCTATGTAAATGTCAGCAAATACAGCTCTGAAACGAATAATACCTTTAAAATATGCCCGAAAAATATAAAAAAAATATAGAAGATCTTTGTTTATTAAGTTCTTTCCACTGGAATTCATCATCATCATGAGCAATCATCATTCAATCTCAATCTCCCGGGTAAACTGGTATAATTATAGCCGCCTATTTAATTTGACCTCTACCCAAAGCACACACACACCCAAACATGTAAATATTAATGTTTGCCCCATTTTAGTCAAATATTTGAACGAAAAAAAAATGTTTGTGGCCTAAACCAGCAAGCCCGACATTAATTATGGACCATTTAAAATGTGTTTATAATTAAAGGGGAAAAAGGACACACACAAGGAGAAATTAGAGCGTTAGAGGACTCACCGATTAGGACTAATATCACATGTAGAATGTACCAAATCTGCACATGGGTGGCTGTCCTCGACGACCCCGAGCCTGTCTGTCTGTGGGGGCTTCCCTTTCCCGGTGCCTGTTGCTCCAGCTGCTGATGGCATTGGTGGTGCTGGTCCAGCTTTTGCTGCCAGCGAGCGGATCTCCTCTGATGGTGGGGCGCCAGCTGGTGCTGGCTATACGGCTCCAGTCCGCACATTTTAGCTGTAGTTCGTAGTCGTCTATCTCTTTTTTCGTTCTTGGTTTTTATTCCCCAATGAGCCACACGCCCACACGCACTAATGTCTTTATTAATTTCTGTGTGAAAATTTCACTTATTTCATTTAGACATTAAGTTGTTTTGGGGTTCCCCTTTGTGGGTGCCCTTTTGTTGCTGCCGTTGTTGCTTCCGCTGTTGTTGTTGTTGCTGCCTCTGTGCGGTAATAAAATGTTGGCTATTAATCACTTTTAATCGCGACGCGAACGAAAGCAACAAAAACATCAGGAAAAATGTTAAAGGCAAAAACTATTAAACGGCATAAGGATCGCCCCCGGGTTCTCCTCTCTGTCCTTCTCATGAGGGACTGAGACCAAGAGACTGCAGTCAAGTTAAAGACATAAATTTTCAAGCATTTTGGGCAAAGATTAATTACACAGCAGCCTTTCCTTTCCCTCAGCGGAAAATGGAGGGAAGTGCGACAAAAGCGTGGAAAAGCCAGCGAAACGAAGGCAAACCCCATGCAACATAAATTCAAAATCCTTTGGGCTCCCATGCCCTCCTGCTCCCCTGAGTTGATTTAGAGCGTCACGAAAGCGCTTGCGAGGCAATTGAGTTGGCAAAGGAGTCAGAGTGGGGGCCAGGAATTGGGAAAATGAATTGGAGGCTGACGCAGAGGCCCAGTTAAAGTTGTTTTCGAGGCCAAGTTACTGTCGGAGTTTGTGTCCTACTGCCTGACAGAACACTCGCCAGGGTTTCCCGGTAAAACGAAGAGAAAGCAACTATCTTCAACAGAGAAAATAAATCGGTTAAGCGACGCATAGTGTTGAGTCAGAAGTGCTGTATATCCGAACTGATGGGTAGACAAACGTGTAGCAGAGTAAACAGATTAACAGAGCAACATCTAATATCTGATATTTTATACCAAAAATGAACGATACAGATACTGACAGATAGGGATACAAATCCTTAGTAAGTAAACAAATACGAGATGGATATTCCTTTCTTATCATGAAATCAGACAAGTAAGGGGGGGTTTAGCTTTAAGCATATTTTCCCCTCACTCCAAGCTCACACTCCGACTCCGACTTGCAGCGACAAAACTGACCATGAGAAATATGACCCCAATATACATTATGCAAAATCTCATACTAAATAAATAAATGACACATACGATAAAAAGCAAAGCCAGCAGCAAAAAACTATACAGTATAAAATGACAAACAACAATGGAAACAATAATTATGTCACGTAGATAAACAATAAATTATTGTTGGTGAAACTAGATTTTCGAAAGGTGTGCGAGAAGCATTGGAAAATTCATCAAAATGGAAAAATATTGCATTATGTGTTGTATAAACATTTTTCGTGGAATTTATGGGAACACTTTTAGAATTTATTAGAAAAAGCTTTGGATTATTTGTGCAAACTAAGATAAGGAAATTTAAAATGATCAAATACAATTTCAAAGCTAATAAAAATAATGTCCACATTAAAAAATATCTGCTCTGAGCAGATTTCAGAACTAACTAGAATGGTGGTAATAAATTTGACGATATGTACCACAGAGATAGTTATTCTATTATTCTCATAAGGCTAAACAGATTTCTCCGTCATTCTGGGAACTAAACTTAGCTAATTAACATCAATTTCAATAATATTTTATCAATTGTAAGTACTTCGTACCAAAATAACACCACAAGTAACAATAGAAAACAATAATACAAAAACTGCAGCCATTCCAAAATACCTTTTAATATGTCATAAAAACAAAACATAAATATATGTGGTACGAGTATCTCTAGAAAATATGTAAATACTCATATTCTTCTATCATCTGACATTATTTATTGGCAATTCAAAAAACCAGCGACAACAAGAGCAATTAACAAATATTTATAAATATAAATATAAATATATGTAATGTCAGAAACTGACAGCTAACAAAAATATTTAACATTTTTCGCATTTTTTACCCAAACTCCGCTCGCATCTGACATTTTTTCCGGTTGCTCCATTTTGTTTAAAGCAAACAATGTCGGAATAAACACAAATAAATAGCTAACAAGTCAGGTGCAGATAATAAACCAACAATAACAGGGCCAACAGAAGCTGTTATTATAATTACAACAACATCAGCGACTGAAAAATAAATTTAGTCAGCGCCTAAAAATATGCAGCACGAAATGAATGTCCAAGACCCTGCCTCGAAAATGACACTCCACTCCAGCTCCAGCTACAGCCCCAGCGAGGCAACATAATTAGCCTAAATGGGAGCAGGAGCAGAAGCCAGATAGGGCGAAGGATAGGGAAAACAAGGAGAGCGAAACAGGCAAAAATGACTAAATATAATTAAAGATTAAACAATTCTTGGGTCAGACTAGAACTTGCTGCGGCAATATTTCATGTTGAAATTTCTCGAGGTAATTGAACTCAACCCAAAACGAAGCTAAGCTACATTTGAAGGTTCTTTTTTTTTTAAGCCAGTCTTAATCGATTACTTTTGGCCTAATCTGTTTTCATCGGCGATGTGTTCTTCGGCGTAGAGAAGCTTAGTAAAGATTGTCAAGGTTTCGCTTAATTAAAGTCTAATGAAGATCTATTGGAAATTATATTCAGTTGATCTTTCACTCTTTTAGGCACTGTTTACAATCAAAGTCTATCGGTCGGTCTTTTTTTTCAAAGTCTATCATATATTTACGTTTAAATTAAATGTCGCTGATGATCTCTAGTTACGTACAGCAGTTAGCACTGAATATAAATGTATGTCAGAGAAACTATTTTCTGTTCCTGCTTGCGCTTTTCTCAGCAGTTAGTTTGCAGATCAACATATCTAATATACTCGTAGATATTTGGTTGATCTTTTATATTTTGCATGCACTTTTTAATTTATAGTGCACAAATCATTTTCACGAATTCCTTGTTTTCGTTGAAAGTTACTTTACAATTTTACAAAATTAAACATTTCCCATGGTAATGTTTTTTATATTTTTGTTACTTTCGGGCTTTTTGTTCGTTTAGGTCTCCCCGCTATGATGGTTATTTTTTGTGTTCCACTTTTCGCGCTTTAATTAACCGCAACCGCAACAGTTTTCTCAGTTTTCCCCCAACAACAGCAGCAACAAATGCCTGACAAATGTTTGTGGCACGCAACAAATGCCGCATTCTTGCCTCAAAAAAGTACCATTTTCACATATGTATATTTGTAGCTGCTTGTATTCTTCTTTTTAATTTGCCTTTGCCATGCGTTTCTGTTGTTATTATTTTGATTTTTACTTTTATTTTGTTCTGCACTTGCACTTTTTACTTGAACATGGAATTACTTTTAGGGCTCGCTCTCTCTCTCTCTCTCTCTCGCACACACACTCTCTGCCACTTGTGTCTGTGTGTGTGAACGTGCGTACGTGTGTGTGCGTTTGGGATATTCGTTTCCTTCCAATTTGAGTTTGAGTTTCGTTGGGGATACACGCGCGCGACAAAAACGACGTGCGTTTGTCTGGGAGTGCAAATGATGACTAAAAAAAACTTTACCTTCGTAGCGACTTGGCGGAGGTGGCGCCCCCAAGGCGGCCAGTGTTGGAAGCTCCCTTGTCGTTGGTCCTGTCGCTAAGAGAGCCGCAAAAGCTTTCTATTCGGCAACGACTGTTGAGAGAGAGTGTACTTCGTGTCGGTTACTCTCTCGTGGGAGTGCATGCTCTCTTGTTTGATTCGATTCCACACTGTTCCCCTTAGAGAGCGCTGTTAAGTGACGGTAGAGTTATCTTCGAAGTTTGGGGGTGGCTTTAAATTGCAGCCAACTGTGCCACCCCTATTAAAAGCAGTGGGGTGGGATAGCAGCCCTCCTCAATGTTTGTGTAGGTTAGTTAACAGCAATACATTCGCCAACATAAATGTTGATAACAGCACCCATTTTTCTAGGGCATCGCTAAAATCGCTAGGTCTGACGACCAGAATAATTATTTTCCCATTGATAGCTCAACTAATGACATATTTTTTTCAGTTTTCTGTTTTTCAGTAGTTTTAGTCTTAAATAATAGAACACACTTCTGAATGTAAATTTTCTTGAATCAGACTAATAATAGTAATTTTTCTCCAGGGAAAAGTCCTAGTAAAGCATTTGGTAAACGACCATATACAATTAAACATGGATAATAAGTGTGACAAATTCCTTATTTTCAGCTAATAACCAATAGTTCTTAATTGTTAGTTTACCATACCAGTTTACAGTTCAATGCAATGACTGCACAGGCCTTATGTTTATTCGTTAGTCAGTTAGTTATTAGTTATTAGTTAGTAACAGTTATCTCCACTGGCTGGGCAGCTTAGTTACGTTTGCACCTCACCCACTTTGCTTGGGATATGGCTAACATAACAGTTTCTGTTTTAAAGTATTTTGTTTAACATTACAGCGCTCTGCATGTTTTTCGTCTGTTAAAATAGTGGGAATTTGTCTGTACGCATAACATTCGTCTGTTATTTGCATCTCTGGCTAAAAACAGAGTCTGTTAACTCTGATGTTTATCAATAAATTGGCATTGTTAGCATGATTTGTAAACAATTTGTTTGGGATAAAAATAAATAGCACTACGTAATCATGTAAGTTGATTTTCATGTGTTGAGTTTTTTGCTATTGAAATATTTTGCTTATTAGTTATTTTTGTACATAAACGACCATTAACCGCCAAATGCGCTTACAATGTTGTCGTTTGTTTTTCATCGAAACCTGCCATCTGATAAAAATCTTTTAGAAGAATTAAACTGTCTATTAAGGTAAATCGATAAATTAGATTCACTTCTGTAATGAGTAAAAATTATGCCAATCAAAATATGAATGGATACTGACTGGACAGTGCAATCATTAAACATAAATTTGCTTGCGAGGGTTTTTTTTACATGTAATCGAATTCTTCTAATTTTAATTATGAATTTAAACCCAACCACATATTTGATTGCTTCTTGTTTTGTCTAAAAAACTTGTATCTCTGATTTCCGAGAATTAGAACGACTTCTTCCATCCTCAGGATTGCCCCATATCAAAATTAGCCCTGCTGACCGACTTTAATTTCGTGGCTAAGCGAGAAACTGGGAAAACATTTCAGTGGTTTGGACATCGCACAATTAAAGGCAATTAAAAGAAGGGCGGGGCAAAATAAGTGTATGAATAAATGGAAATATATGGATATCTGTGCGAGGTTGTGTGGATATGGAAATCAAATATAAATGGCGCTTTGCGTAATGAAATAAAATGTAAATTTAACTGTCACTGTAAACCACTTAAAAATAAATATGAAAAATTATCACAATATTTAATGAACCAACAGACCAGAAAGCCAAACTCCAACTGATGACGTCAGTGGGGGATGTGGATTGTCTGGTGGGGTTATTAAAAATTATCCCTGATATATGACTTTATCTATGCGATGCATGCCACCCCCCCATGCCCCCCCCCCCATGCCATCCCTCCCCGCAAAAAGCGCGAGACTTTTGTTTGCCCAACAGACTGACAATGAGAGAAACAGAAAAGTGGAAATCAAATGGAAAATGCATGAAAATGGTGGAATACAAAAATGGAAATAATGTAAACGATTGCACTTTGTGTGCATTAATTGAGTTAAAGTTTTATTCAGCAGTTTAAAAATTGTTTTAACAAAAATGAGTAAACTTTTCAAGGTTCAATTTCGGTTTGGTTGGAGTTTCGCTCCCCTCCTGCCGGGCATATGCAAATGCCGACCCCTGCATGACCCATCCGCATGTGCATACCTATCCTTATTCCCATCTTCAGATACTTCCCATCCTCTAGCTCAAAGTCCGCTGTGGGTCAGTGGCATTTCGCTTCATTTCTGTGCGAGGAATGAGCTCAGCACTTGAAATTTGTAAGCTCGTGTGGTTCTCCACTTGCGGAGGGGAATATAGAAAGAGATATTTGAGAGGAAAAGTAGGAGAGCAGAAGAGATACACAGAGAAGAGCGCAGACCAGAGCTGGAGCCGGAGCCGGAGTTCTCCACTTTGTGTGCTTAGCTAATGGCTCAGCTTGGTCGAGGTATCAGTAGGAGGGAGATTCCATTTCAACCAGAAACATTTCTGGCTGGTTTAGCCAAATCCTTTACCAACTAATAAGTATACACAGAGCCAAAAAGTTTTTACAAATTTTCAAATGATATCCTAAGAGAACGTTAACCTTTAGCCTTAAGAAATTCGACTTCTATGCTTATATATAGATTGTATTCTGAAATCGTTGTATCTTTGAAATCTTTATGGGTATTACCACTGATGTCCTTTAAAGAATAGCCACCGAAATATCGGACCCTGCCCCTTCCCATTCATAAGCCAAAGTCAACTTTCCCTCCCATAACTTTTCCCGCAGCTGTCATAAAAAAGCGCAAAAAGAAAAAACGGAAATTTTTTTGTTTGGTGGCCCCAAAGGGAGTGGGCGTGTCCATAGTGGATGGGAGTGTGTGGAGGGGTCGGGGTAAGGGTAAGGGTAGGGGTAGGGTTAAGGGCACACACATAAATTAATACGAAATACACTTAAACAACAGAAGGAAAAAACTTTGTTCCTCATTGATTTATAGCGTTAATATTTCTGCTTTAATGCATCAAATAAATTAAATTGTCTTACGCACCTTTCAGCAGTCGAGAAAAACTTTTGATGGCCCTTCGATGGGGCGGGCGGCCCTTCCCTCCGTGAGGGAAAAGTCTCCAGCAGAGGAATTATTTTTGTTCGCCCCCCCCTCTACCAAGAGAAAGAGAGCAACAAATGCATAACTTCGATTCGTAAAAACAAATAAATATTCATAAAAAATTATTCTTTGTTTCACGCTCCCTCATGCTGTCTCTCCTCTTTCCTCACGATACCCCCTCCCGTTCTCCTGGGTACTACCTGTCCCCCCTACTGTTGCTACAACCTGTCTTTTTCTCCTCAAAAAAAAAAAAAAGCACTTTGCGGATCTTCAGTCCTTGCCGACGCCGACGCCGACGCCGCCGCTGTTTTGCATACCGAAAGGTAGACGGTGGCTCTGCAAGACGCCTGAATTATAAATATTCATTTATGCTAAGCTCCAGAAAGAAACAGAAAGAGAAAGAGAACGAGAGGTTCTCTCCAGGTGTGTGCGGGGGCGTTACCTTGGTCGCGCCTGTTGCCTTCCACTCCGATTTCTAGGGCTGCTCGTTTCGTTCCCGTCTTGGAGCACCCTCCAACAGGTCGTATGATTGATTTAATTACGGTATAAGGCGTGTTTTTTGTCAGCCTTACGGAGCATTCAACTTTTTGTGTTCCCGCTGTGGAATATTTTTGGACAAAGATGCGTGCAATTGAACCTTTTTGCGGAATTACTCTACTTTGGTGGGTAAGTTGAGCCAAATTTTGATTACGCGTGAAGGTTAATTTAACATTTAGCTTAGTTTTTAGCAGGTATTTTGTATTACTTATTTTTGTATTATTACTTGCAATCTCTTGGCATCCTTCATTCAAAAATATGAGATATTCGATTTGTACCTTGGGGAATTTTTGCCTTTTTTTATAATTTATTTGCCTACGGCTATTTTCATCTGCCGATTAAATGTTTCCCTGTCAAAGTGCATATTGAGTTTGTCTATGCCAAAAATCCTGTTCGATTAAGTTTTGTAAATAATATTTTGTTCTCCTTGTTATTTTTTTGTCTATTTTGAGAGTTAGGTACTCCAAATATCAATACCTGTGTGGGAGTGCTGTGGCTTGTCCCTTTTTTTTCACGTCGGTTCGGCTGGGTTGCTGCAACTGTGAGATTGGGCTGGTTGTTAATCGCTTGTCTCGACCTGCTTGAACGGCCGTCTAACCATCGAGTCGTGTCATTAAACTGGTTCTTCCGACACTCCCGCTCTGACTGCTTATCGCAGCCAGCGAATGTTTGAAATTTATGTGCTCTTCTCATTGTTGTTCCCGATGCTGTTGCTATTGCTGTTGCTGGATGAAAAGCTCAGCTTAGCGCTAACGCCCGCATATACACATCATTTCCGTTTCCCTTTGTAGCACCCTCATGGCGGACAGGGGGGACACAGGGAAACAAACAAGCGGCAGTCGTACTTCATGTAATCAACATTTTAATTGCGGAAACGGAACTCGCACACATACATCCATCCAAACATCCCACCGTACAGCAGCCCCTGCATGCTGCATGCCCCACCGCCCCTTCATGGTGTATCTGTTACACATTACGCATACGCAATGTGTGCCTCCACTTGCCACACTCCGGCCTGTTTTTTATTCCACCGGACTGACTGCTGGCGTTCGCTTAGAGAAAACATTTCCTCCAGCAATTCTCTCTCTCTCTCTCTCTTTCTATCTCTCTGCTTTCTCTATCGCTATCTCGCAGGCTGGAATTCATTACATCAAATATAAAGAAAGTTTTAGGCAATTTGCCAAAAATCCCAGCGGGAGCAGGAGTTATCCCAGTCATCCCCAAAAAAAATGCAAAAAATAAAAGACCCACTCAAACGTTGCAGCTGCAGCAGGGCTGATGCAGGTAGCCCAAATCTACTTAGCTGATGGCGGTTGCTTGTGGGGCAGAGTGGGGCGTGGCGGCATGCTGGGTGTGGATTCAGGGGCCCGTGAGGTGCCTAGGTAAACGTAAACGAATTTGCGAATATGCAGCAGCCGTAGCAGCCGTAGCAGCCGTAGCAGCAACATCAGCCAAACTAAAAGCAACAAAAATGTGTCCATGGGTTAGGGGTTCGAATGGGTGATACTCTGTTGCAAGAGGAACTAAGAAAAGCACTTAAAATGCACGAATAGAATTGACTGCATTGGAGATTGAAGAACTGTAAAGAATTGTATAAATAAATCTGAGGTTTTGAGAGGTAGAAATTGTGTAAGTAAATAATTATAACAAGTCAAACCCAGATATAATGCTTATTGGTCTATTCATACTTGAATGATTAGGTACTTATTAGAAGAAGAAAACAAAAATAATATAAGCTGTCGAAAAGCTTAATCAGACCGCAGTATTCGCTGAGATACATGTATGTAACTGGGAGTGAGCAAGTTGGCCCCAGAAGGAGCATTGGTTAACAGCAGTAACAGCAGAGCATCAGCCATAACAGTAGATGAACAGCAGTAACAGCAGAACGATAAATAACAGTAGATAAGCAGATAAGCAGCAAAGGCAGAGGAAGAACACAGCAGTGAAGAAGACCAGCAGAAGGAGAGTAGTAAGAAGATAATCGTAGCAGTCGGACGTAGCGTTGAACAGCAGCAGCATAAATCAGCCGATATCAAGCAGTTACAATTATGCTTACCATTATAAAGACAATTTATCTATGAGATGATCAAAATGATTAAAATTGTAAAATTTCGATTTCGGTTTAATTATAATTAAAATAAAAAATTAAAATTAAAATAATTATTTTTGTCGTATGGGAGCGCCCACTGTGCATTACCTGTGCACCGCGATTTAATATCAATAAAACTATACCTAAATAATAACTGACATGTATACACAAGGATTTCATCACCCCCACTGAATAGATAATTAATCTTTCCACTCCGCTTTTCCACTTTCCCAAGTGATATCCTCAAAGTATTTATCCTTTCCATTTCCCTACACACCCAAATCTTTGCGGCCTGTCATGACCATTTGACAACCTGCTACCTTTTACTTCACACAGATAGATATCCCTCTACCTTTCGTTGCAGTCCTCCTGTCGCCTCTTCCCCGCTTCTCGTTTTCATTCTCCCACTTTCTGCTTGCCTTGTAGATGGCAAGCCAGTTTGCCGAAACACTTGAGCGACAATGCCGCCAGCTTGGGGCTAAGCATTGCAGTCGAAAGCCCAAAAGCTTCGAGCCCCCCGCGGGCAGAGCTGCCACCTCAGCGTGCTCCATCGCCATCCCCCTGCTGTAGCTATTTTTTTATAGCTGCATCAACAGCAGCAACAGACATGATAAATTCTCTTTAGTATGCGGCATACATGAGTGATGATATTAACCAACAACAGGCAGCTCCCTCCGGGGTGCGAGGACGTCTGGGGAGCAGCTATTGCAACCGACACAGACACAGACAAGTTAGTCGGCAAAAAAAAAAAAGAAAGGTGAGCCAGCAGATGGTGAAGAGGGGGTCGGGTCGGGGTCTCTTTTTTGGGTAGGTAAATGTGCAGAGCCGCAAGAAGTTTGTGAGTGGTTTGCATCCTGTCCATGGATGGATTGAAGTGTAAAGCGAAGTTTTCGGCTCAAAGACCCGAGTAGGTGCTGGGGGGAAAGTGAATGCCATGAATGATCCCAGTACGGAAGGAGGAAGGGCATATTCCGCTGCTGATTGGTAGCCCCTCCCGTAGCTCTAGATCCCAATAGATCCAAACTATTTTCATTTTGTGTCAATTCAATGTCACACTATTTTCAGTTTCGCTGTTACACATTTCCCCACACTTTGCTCCACACTACTCGTACACTTTCTTTTCGTTGCTTTCACGTTTTTGTTCTTTTATTCCATCATGAGTGATGGCAGTCAAAACAAAGGAGAGCTCTTGGAGAAATCTCAGTCTCAGATCGTCTTTGAGGAGCCGCTAGTGGAGGTTCGGGAAAATTCGAATGCTTCTATCGGTGACAGGCGGGAGGAACAGCTCCTTGGATGACATGCTGGAGAAGAGGACAAGCAAAGAAGGGGACAGAGCGGCATCGTCTTCAAAAATTAAACCTCAAGAGCAACCCAAGCGGAGCGGAACACCAAAAGCAAAGCCTGGAAGAGAAGTAATGGGTAAGAAAGCCACCAAAAAGTCTCCCAGAAGGGAGATTAATGCACCGAAGGCGCCCACAAAGAAGCCACAAAAGACTGCCGAGAAATCTGTGGGCAAGAAGTCAGAGAAACCCACGAAGAAAGTTCCACGAAGCTCTCCCACACAGAGAAAGTCATCCCCAAAAAAAGCACAGGGAGTGTCCATAGAAGGGTCCCTCTCTAGTAATAGAATTTCAATGGAAAGTCTTGGCCTTCAGGCAATGCGCTCCAAAACATCGATTGCCTCGAAACTTTCATTTACGTCGAGGTCTTCCCGGAGGTCTACCAGAAGTCGAAGCTCGAAGAATCTGCTTGTTGCAGAGGGTTTCAAAATGATTAGGAGGAAAGCCAAACAGAATGAACCGCTGCCTGGAGCAGAAGAACAGTCGAAGGAGTCTGCACACGAAGACGACTTGTCCTCGTCCGAGTCGGACACTTTGGAGACATACCAATCGAGTCTGGTCGAAACTGTAGTAGTCGAGGAGGAGGCAATGGAACTCTCCCAGAGGCTTGCCTTTCTCCAGGTATTAAAGGACCTGCCCGACATACGTGACCTTTCGGAGACTACCACCATCGAGTCGATTCCGATACAGGACACTGAGGAAGCGAATGCCGAACGCTTGACCGACACTGGACACTTTGTGGATGGCGTCGCAAGCAATGAGCATTCCGAATCGGACACGGGGACTCAGCACAGTCTGGAATGCGAAGCCACCGAACATAGAGCGGATCGAACAGCCGATGACAGCGAAAGCTTGGATATGTCACTGGCTACTGAATCCGAAAGTGGTGACGACTTTGCAGAACCTCCCTGGACCGAAGAGTCGGTGGATGATATTACCAAGAGCATGATGAGCATTGTGTTCACAAGCGACGAGGCCATGCCTGTGCTTGTCCTCGGGGATGATCTCTACGAGGTCTATCTGGCCAATATGGAGACGTGTCAGCAGTTGCTCACTCAACTGATCAATGAGGCCGTAAACTATGCCGAGAGCGACTACGTTCGCTTGACGCGAGTCCTAGACAAGGAAAAAATGATGAAGCAGCTCTATAAGCTAACAGTGGACTATTCGGTGGAGCGGCATCGCAATACGAAGCTCGATAACCTGGTCTGTGAGTTTTACCTGCGAAAGAAATGCATGGGCTTCATCAGCGGACCGAAGGGGTCAGACGCATTCAGCAGGACCCGATACCGGAACGCCATCCTCGAGCTGGACAGCCGTCTGAGTGTGGAGATCGAGACGGAGAAGAAAAAGGAGAGTATTATAAAGCAGTTGCGCGACGAGGAAGAAGCCGCTACGGTCGAGGCCGACGAGAAGGTCCGCCACTTTGAGAACAATGTCATGCAGACCTTGTGCTTTAGGGATGGGTTTGATCATCTGAAAGCTTTGGTTGGCGTGATCCTGCGAGGCATCTCAAGGTTTCGCGAGGAAGTGGATCAAGTCAGATTGGCTCTACTGCTTACCCAGCACCAAAATGCATCCCTAACTATTGTAAGTAGCCCTTAATCGGGATGCTGATCAGGCTGAAGGTTAATCTTTATTCCTTTGTTGACATTTTAGCAATTGGATAAGATGGAAAATCTGGGCGATGGCCTCAAAATGCACGAGTATCTGTCCAATCAGGCCACCAACCAATCTTTGGGCATCAAAATAAATGGTAAAACGCGTGGGACCTTCGTTAATTAATGATAATGTCAATGATAACCCTCCCCCCCCATAGAACGTAATGGGGAACTGAAGCGATTGAACAGACGCATCACTCACGACACCCATGCCCTGGCCCACTTTCAGAACAAAGAGCTGATGAACGGAAACATTCTGGCGCGCATGAAAATAAGACTCCATCGAAGGATAGCAACGAGAGAGAACCTCCGGATGATCATCTACACGGCCAAGATCAGGCACCTCAACCTGAAGAATGAAAAGAAGAGAGTACGCGCCGCCGGCTGCCTCATGCACTACCCCGGCCTGATGAAAGACTACGACGTGACCCTCGAGCAGCTGGAGGCGAAGCGCAATGTGGTCCAGAAGCTGCGCTTGGAGCATGCACGCCTGGAGCACAGGGTAGAACATGTGGGGACCATCATAGCCGAGACTGAAAAGCGGCTACGAAGTGTCCGTTCTTTGACGCTATTGAAGTAATTTAATACCAAGGAATTATAGCTACGAAACATTGGGTTTCATCTGGGATATGGGGAATGGGCGGGACACGGGTTGAAAGTTTCTTTAGTAGTGGGGAGCTGTCAGTATCACACGTGCCAGCAGCCCTCCTCTTGATACCCCCTGGCCCTTGGCCAAACCGCACAGCAGGACCAGTTCTGGGTGCCCTCACACACACACAGTGGCGGTCGAAAAAGTTCGCTCAGAGGAACTGCCAGCATCAAAGACTGCCTGCGATTATCGGTTACACCTTTGATCAGCAAGAACAGATCTAATCGAAGTAAATGAAAAGGTTTTTTGAACCATTCTAATGGCAGTTACAAGAGCACATCGCAGCGTATAAATATTCGAGCCACAGTAGCTGGGACCCGTGATTTATGTGTGCCCCATATTTCCCAACCACTAAATGGTTCGCACACTATCCTCCGCCACTGTATGTACGAGTAAGTATGTATAATACGTATGTACGTATGTTTGTGTGTATAGAAAAGTCATGTTTTGCATCTTTTGGCAGCTGCCATATATCTTAGTTCTGGGCCCAAAACAGGACTACGAAGGCATTGGATACATAGTCAGCAGAGCACCCCACAGCACAGCACGGCACACACGAACACATACTCGTACTCGTGTGCAGAGACAGGTACAACCTCCGGGAGTGTATTAGTCCGTGGTAAATCGGGAAGGAGTCTGAGCAGGTGGCTGCGAGAAAGGGGATGCGGATGCGGATGGGTATGGGTATGGGGATGAGTCCCAGCTAAATGCAGATGAGGCTGCTAGGAGGCCATGGTCTGTCCAAGCTCGGTCCGTGTCTGGTTTGGCCTGCTCCTTGGTATGCACATTTCATGTTGCACTTAAAAACAAAAAACGAACTGGTCGTGGATACGTTGGGTATGTGTTGGGGCAGAGGGGCAGCACACAAACATGTGGCGAAAACTAATAGCAAAAAAGAATCGGAAGGCCAGCAGGAAGACGATGCTTTACATACCCTAACACTTCAATGAATATTCAGCTGATTTAGCTGAGTAATTTACACACACATTTGAAGCATTTCTTACACCAACATATACTGATTCGATGCAGGCTAATTTCCATAGAAACAAACAGGGACATGGCTTCATCAGCTGATCAGACCAAGAAGGGTATGCCCATTCAAAGGGTATATTCAGAGCTGGAAGAAGCTGGAGCCGAGGCAAAAACCGAACCAAGTTGGGTTAATGGCAAAGGTGCTGATGCCGTGCAGAATTTGCTGCACACTTTGACCCCGAGCTAAGCATCCCATCCCACCCCACCCCACACACAAAGCCCCCCAAGCCCCACTTTGGTTAGTTTTTTGTGCCCAACATTTAGAGCGTACACAGGTGCATCTGCATGTGTGTGTGTGTGTGTGTAAAGGTGCTGTGGAATGTCAGTGTGTGTTTGGCACGCATGTTCCAGGCGCTTATCGCCATCGTCGCATCGTCGGCTGCTGGTTAGAAAATCAAGTAGTGTGAGGCACGAGGGAAGCAGTGCCTGCCCCAGGGCTAGAGGCGAGGGAGGGCGCAGGTTCAGGAGCGTAGTGTTGGAGGGTTAAAGGTACGAAGGTGGGATTCTTGGCAGGCAAGATGAAATTCCGTTAGCTAAATTCGATTTTGCACTTGAGCCGCTTGCCGGGCTGGCTAATGCAGAGAGCGACCAGCGACCTTCCCCCTCTCTTCGCTCAGTGGCAGTCGGTGCCAAAGCTTTCGCCTCTGCCCGATTTCCATCACTCCCTTGCCATCTTTCTTTCCTTCTGTGGCCTCGCTGGCCAAGTGGAAGTTGCACAAAAAAAAAAAAGAAGACTGTTAAAAACTAAAGCTAATGCGCTTAGTCAAATGGCACAAAAAGAACGAGGGCTGATCGAGCAAAATTCACAAATTGGGAACAGTATTTCCTATCAAAAAAGGAGGCTAAAACTGGGGCAATTATTTATATTATAAATATAAATATTCAGGCGGGAAAATATAATTACAGTGAAAGATCTCTTGGGGGGACACGTATCTATCTTAATCGCTATCTTATCGCCATTGCGACCTGGCCTTAGACTATGCGGAGCATATGCTCCTCTCGTCTACTTATCCCCTGGCCAACTCTCTAAGCAACCTCCGCTGTGCAGTTATTTTTTCTTGACGTCGGCATACTTTTCGACACTGAAAGCAATTTGAGGTACTCAGCACAAGACAGTGGCAGGCACACAGCCGTAGAAAATACTCAGACGCATTTGCATGGGACATGTGCATTGCACGTCGGTATTTGCATCTTCAATCCGCCATTGGGTTGTTGGGTTGTTGGGTTCTTGGGTTCTTGGGATGTGATTCTAAATATCTATGGCATGGCATCTATAAGCCAATTTCCGCTGCTTGCCACCTACTATTTACATATGTGTGCATTGCTGTTGCTGTTGCTGTTTCTGTCTCGCGTCGCGCTAAATTAACGCAGTTTGTCATTTTTGTTGCATTTCCTTTGGCAGCGGTAGCGCGCTTCCTCGCTGGTATACTGTATGCTAATGATGACTTTGCCATAAGTATTTCCGCTGCATTACAAATGTCATGATGGGAGGATAAGGGAAATAAATACAGTGCGTCCTAGAATTATGTATTCAAGGAACAGGAACCGAAGCAGGTGCAAATATCTCTGAGTAGTGCTTCGCCTTTGGCGGTGTTGGAAGTGTTATTGAAAAATATTTAAAAGGAGATTTAAGAGCTGATAATAATATTTGATTTGATAATTTGTATCTCTCAGTCTCAATGCATCACATCATTAGGTTTTAGCTTAGATCTTTTGCCACCAAAAGATCTTCCACTAGGAGGCTTCTTCGAGGGGTAATCTACAGTGCGTGTCACTGCTATATGGAACGCATTCAGAGACCCTTGCAAAAACATTTCAATATCTTAACTATCTGCTAGTCCACATATACGTACATATACTTTTGTCAGGCAGTGCCTGCAGCAAATTTGATTAAGCTGCGCCACGATTTATGCTTGCAAATTATTTATATATAAATCTAACTAACTATTTGCCTGCATCGCGGCGTCATCCAAGCAGGACGTCAGCCCTTTCCTGTTTTGCCTGCCACATGCAGCCCCCACCCCTCGGCTCACCAACCCACATGCTGCATGCCACTTAAAGCGTGCCGCACTGGAGCACACACACACACACACACACACACAGACACAGTGGAACACATTTTGAGTAATAAACTCATTTCATATGCTGACTGCTTTTTCATTTCAAAACTTTTTTTCGCTCTCCCTTACTCCACTCCACTTCTCGCTCCCTCCTTTGGTTTCCCTGTTGTTTGCTACTTGTTAGCAAAGGGCTGATGGGGGGAGGGAGGTGTGAAGAGACCGCCAGCAGGGTCAAATGATATATGAGTATGAGTTTTGTATATACCTGGTAATTGTATTTTGGAAGGGTATACCAATACAGTTCCACTCGTGTATATACATAGTCCCCTTGGTTCGAAATGAGTTCGATGCCGTCTGAGATTTATTTTGATGGCTCTTCGTTATTCAATTTAATTTAAATCACAATCTTTTGCTATCTTCTTGAGCCGCACATCACGCCGTGCACACACACAGCCTTTATCTCTCTTCTCTCTTGGTTACCGTGCATCCCATCTGTTCACTACTCAATTCTGAGTTCAAGTCATCGCTATTAATATTACACATTAGAGATACTTATTTGGGATACCTATTGGGGATATTTATTCCCAGTTTTGCCTTTCCTTTAGGGTTCAACCTTATTCAGGGCTTTCTACCATTTCTACCTTATTGCTCCTCTTTTTCTTGTAAAATGCAATTGGGACTTATGAAAGGGCCCACCAGTAGAACCCTGCAGAGAGGGTATCTCACGGTCGTATGATTTATCTCTTGTTTTCCTTATATTTTTTGTCCGCCAGCTGGAACCCTTTTTTCTGTTGTGGTTCCTTGGCTGGAGAGTTTCTGGAGTTTTGTTGCTATTGTTATTGCTGTTTCGGTGCAAGTTGTCTGGGAAATATTAAATATGCATACGCTAAATGCAGTCCAAGTCGACTGCGGCATCCGTGCCACTGCCACTGCCACTGCAACTGCAACTGTTCCCCTTCCTGTTGCTATAGATGATATTGCTGCTTTTGTTAGTGTTATTGTGACTGTGTTAAATGTAGGTGAAACTGGCTGTCAAAATTCCTGACACAGCTGTAATGAAATTTGCACAGACCACGTCGTCAGCATTCAACCCCAACCCACTGCCGCCTAACCTCATCTCAGCCCTCCGCTAAACACAGTTGAGTGACATTTTAATAAAGTGCTCACTCGTTCAATTAAATGCCTCAGGCTTATGGCAAACATAAAAAAAAAAAAAAAATATAATACAACAACAAAAAAACCACCCCAGAGAGCATAAAAAACTAAACTGCAACAGAAGACAAACAGGCAGTCAGTCAGTCAGTCAGTCAGTCAGTCACTAAGTCAGTGTGTCAGGCGAACCACGGAGCGTATTCGTAATATCTGACTGTATTCCGCTGATGTCTTTTGTCTGTCATTCGATTGTGTTTAGCTAACAAGAGAGGGATGACAGGGATGCACTGGGATAGCTGCAGCTCGATGGATGGCTGGTTATGTCAGTGCACTACTACCGTTTATTTGTCTGTGTCTGTGGATGTGTGTGTTTTCAGTGCAATGAACACATCGGTTGAGAGCTGTGCAATTATGTGGAAGACTGGAAATTATAGACTTATCAGGTGGCAAAGGTAAGCCATCTTGGCAATAGATTAGTTGATAAATTAATTTAATGAAATGCGCTCTAGCTAAAAGCCATGAGCAAAGGCTACTCAAACTTGAACAAGAGCTCCGAATGGGCTGCTCCTTCTTTCTATTCTTGTACTTTCGACAGGGGACTGTCCCTCGATCGATTCCCCCTATTGATGCCCAGAAGCTTTGCCTCTTATTATTGAATTTATTAGCTTTGGTTTGACCTGCCAAACTTGATGTGGAAAATCTTTGCGA